CTCCTGGCAACTAGCTTTGGTCTTTTCTAGCCCTCAATATTGGGAGAAAACAATTCACTTTTTAAACAATCCAGTCTATGGTAATTTACTATATCTACTTAAACTAATACCAAATTCAAATAAATAAAATGCCTAAAAATAAATTCACTCAATATACTACTGTATATATGATAAAAGTTATAAAATATTGCTAAACACAGGAGACATAGTTAGAGACATAACTAAGAAGATGCCTCATGTCCACGGAGTCTAACTTGGGTGTCATTACCATGGCAATATTACTTGATGCTACCTAGAGAGTCAGTACAGCTTCTGTACAAACACAAGGTTTTTTTTTTTCTCTCTCTCTTAGTGGAAAAGACAACCTGATGTTCATTTATTATTGACAAGGATAGTTGAGTCTCCGAAACAGTCTTTAAAATGACACACAATATCGAAGAGTTAACTCTCAAAACTTTAAAATTTACAAGAAGCTACAGTAGGCAAAATACGGCTGTGTTCTGTCATAAATGTAGGCCTGTTAAACAACAGAATATTGAGTGCAAAATAAAGCCTCGATTCTAGTCCCATCTGGATCTTTTACAAGTGTCCAAGCCTGTGCGATCCTCTCCAACAAAGGGTGTTAGAATAACTGAATATCTACGTATTATGGGTGGTGCTGTGCCACTGTCCACAACATACACAAAACTGATAAAAATAACCCAGTGACTTCAGTGCAGATACACATGACTTGAATATAAAAATATGTGATCATTAGGAGAAAGCAAAGATGTCAACTGTGCTGCTGAGTTTGTTGACATATTTATCAACATTAACACCCAAAGCATGAGAAACAGAAGAAAAATCAATAAAGGAACTGGATTTCATCAAATTGAATACTTCTGACCAACGTGGTAACACAATGGCTATAATCCTAGCACTCAGGAGCCATCTCAGACTTCATGAGTAGGCACTGTCTCCATAAAACAAAAGAATAAAAACCAGGGAATCCTCAAAGTAAGGGAAAATATTTGCAAATCAAGCACTTTTGTCATGGTTTGTCATCTACAATATAGTTTCATATCTCAACAGAAAAAAGAAAAATAACTCATTTAAAAAGTGTACAGTAGTCAAGGTTTTGAATAGACATTTTCCCAAAAAAGGATACTCAAATATTCGGTAAGAATTTGGAGTGATGCTTAAGATCATAACTCAAAAGGGAAATGTAAATCAGCACTATGATGAGGTCCTTCTCAGGAAAGCAACAACAATAAATAAACCATATTTTGGTTAGTCCCCTTCTATTCACTCATCCCCCACTCCTGTGTTTAAACCACAGCCTTGTAGCTCTCAGGAAAAACCTGTAGATTGTGTTAACATATGACTCTTTGCACCAACCCAAAAGTCAGTTATCAACAGACAATTCTCCCCTCTTTGCCACCATCTGATACTTGCACTGATGCATTTGAAAAATGCTTTGACCTGTGACATTCTTCTGCTCTGTAGCTATTGGAACGTTTTTTTCAGGGCAGCTTGGATCTGTGCTCCTGGTCCACCATCACTCATACTTGGACTAAGAATAAATGTGAATTCCTTTTGAGGTGTTTTAGATCAGCAGAACATAGTCATCACTGACGGTGAGCATATCGAATGCAAATCATCCCTCTCTTTGGGCTCTCCAGCATGAACGAGACTTCACCTAAGACTCCAGATGATACACTAAGCAATGAGGTAAAAATATGTTATCTGTTTGGGAAAGACTCGCTTGCCCCTTGCAAGGGGCAGTTGTTTGTGGCATGCAAACTTTCTTCACGTGGGTCTGCCTGACTCCTCACTAAAATGCCAGTGCATGCCACAGTTAGATACTGTTCTCATGTGTTTGTTCCTGTTCTCAGATGGCCAGCCAAGATCAGCCCATGCAGGCAAAAGGCCAGGAAGTTCTGGCAGTAGCCCAGGCCTGCATAACCGTGTCCATGGCATAAATGCACAAAAAGTGCAATGTTTCATGTGGGTTTTTTTTCCCTTTGACAAATGTGTACAGCAAATCTTTCCCAAGCATTGTTTTAAATGTTGTCTTTAGTTCTGAAGCTCTTCTGGCTTGAGTTCTAGTCTTAGGGAATGGGTGGATGATTTCTAAATTCTACAAACATGAAACAGAAAGCTATAAACAATCACAGCTTCTCAGATGGTCTTGTATTTGTTTGGCATTTAACACTATTAAGATTGAGTAGAGAAGTATAAACGCACAATAACCCCAAGACTCACCACAGAGGCCAACCTGCACTCATCTGCCCTGATTTCTTTCTCCTTTCCTGGTCATCAAGTGTGGTCTCAAACTCCACCTGTGGGCCAAGGACTCAGAAATCCCCAAGCCCTAGCTGGCTCTCTCCTCCTACTTCCAAGTTGTCCTCTTACATTCTTTACCTATTAATTTGTGGGGGTTTCCTCTTTTTTCTTTTCTCCTCATTAGTAGTAAAACATCATCAAAATAAAACACACGTTTATTTCCTTCAGTACAGACATTCCAATATTCTCAGGGACTCAGTCATTGTATGTTCTTAGTCAGTGTATGTAAAATGAATAACTCAACAGATGAGTGAACGGTGTGGTGCAGAGAATGAGATTTTCTTCACCTGTAGGAGGGATGAAAGTATTACATTCACAGGAAAATGGGTGGGACTGGAGGTCATTGTATTAAGTAAAAGACAGACCATAAAGACAAATATGGCATGATTCTGGTGTGCATGTGTGGCATGTATGTGCAGTCATGTGTGCATATGTGTGTGTGTGTGTGTGTGTGTGTGGTGTGTGCACATGTTCACTTGCATGTGTGTGTGCATGCATGTCGAATGTATGGGACTACAAAGGAGGAGGAGGTCTTTAGGAAGGGAGAGAACCAGTAGAGGCAAACAAGGCAAGAAGACTGAGGGGGGGGCTGATCAAGCAGGACTGGGAGGGTGGGGAAGGTAGTGGGGGGGATAGCAAAGCACGGTGACACACACGTGTGAAAGTCACTGCAGACTGATCTCTTCACGGCCTAAGGACAAGTTAACAGCAGATAAAACATGCAGGCCAGACACAGCATTCCTTTCTTGAACACTTTTGCCCCCTGATTATCTTGCCTTCTCAAAAGCTGCAACATATCCATGTTCCCCAAATATTTGACTTTTTAGGGCGCTGCTGCAGGCAAGAGTGGCCTGCTCACATGACCACGAGAAACCGGACTAAACTAGGGAGAGAAAAGGTTTTGCTGGAGCAGGGCATCAGGTTCAGTGATGCGATAAAGAGCCTTGTGTGTCCCCCAAATACTGGAAGGAGCAGCAAGCTGCCTCCAAGGCGTTTATCAACAGAGCCCTGCGTCACAGACCTTCCTCTGGCTCAAAATTGTGGGTGGTGCCATTTGGGAAATGGGGTGAAAAGTGGATTCTTGTGTTTGGCCACTATTAGAGAAAATACATTTTTTTTTCTTCCTAAAATTAAAATTATCAAAATTTCAAGGAAGCAAAAATCAAATTGAAAGCATTCCACTCTTAAGAGTAAATAATCCATCATCAAGTACTCGCTGGACATTAAAAAGGGATAAAAATTACAGCTCTGGGGACATGGCAGCCTTGTTCCCATCTCAGATCTCCAGCCAAGGATCACAGGCTGACTCATGAAGATGGTCGCCTGTCCTCGCAGAAGCCAACACTTCCCCGAACAATAAAAGCAAAACTCAATTTGCTCTGATTATCTAAAATGTAATATTAGTGTCCCTGAGGCCGTGTGTTTACTGTGTTATTACACTAGTCTGTGTGCTCCTTCCGTAGTCATTTTGAAAAGGCTCCTGTGATAGGAAGTCTGGAGGGTGGCTCATGGGAGCTGTAGTTGAAACACTACGTTAGACTGGAAACTTACAAGCACAAGTCACACTGGACTGACTCCTAAGCAAACAGAGAGCGGGGCCGAGCATTACCTTTTCGGATCGTCGGTGTGTCACTGTCCGCAATCAGCTGCAGACAGTCTTGAGTGACTGAAAAGCAAAAACACATTGTTTTAGTTATTGGCAGGAACAAGGCAACGCAGGAGACAGAGGACACAAGCCTGCCTCCCCAGAAGCACCGACAGTGTCTCCCTGTGTGCAGAGCGGCGCCTTCAAGTGTCTTTGTGAGATCTGCCCACTTGCTGGAATCTAAACACCCCGAGTTCCTGACACCCAAGGAGAGAGAGCCTTCTGTGTTTGGGGAACCCAGGGAGCAGCCGTCTGTAACATTCAGTCTGAGTTCTTTTGAAATATTGTTCCTTAAGGCAGATGTATTCATTTTGGTGTTTTCTTCTTATTATATTTTTATTATTTAAAACAATTTCTAAATTTAATTATTTTTGATCATATTCTTCTCCTCCTCCAACTCCTTCCAGATCTTCTGTCCCTTCCTACCCACCGAACTTTAATTTCTTTCTCAAAAAGGCAAAACATACACAAACCCAATACAACAACAGAATCCCTCAAAAACAAAAACAACAACATCCAAACAGAAAACAACAACAAAAACAAATAAGCAAACAAAACCTTTAACCACATAAAAGAACACACAAAAAACTGTGGAGTCCATTACATGTTGGCCTACTGCTCCTGAACTTGAGGCCTACCCGGAGTGGTTGATGAACCGCATGTCACTCCATTGTAGAAAACTGGTCTTCCCTCTCCCAACAGGAACAAATGACAGCTCAGTTGTTACCCTTTGCCTTGGTGGCTAGGTTTTTTTTTGTTTTTTTTTCATTCATTCATTTTTAAAAAAATATAACAAAATAAAATATAATAGGATAAAACAGAAACTATCTAATTGAAATTGTACAGGACAAACCAACAGAAGGAAAAGAGACCAAGCGAAGGCACAAGAAGAGTCAGAGCCCCACTTGTTTGCACACTCACAAGTCCCTGAAACACGAAACCGGATGCCATCACATACATGATGAGGACCTGGTGCAGGTTCTTTGTTTTTTACATCTTCCGTACACTTGTAAAGTTAGGTTTATAAGGACTGCTAAGATAACTTTCATTAAAAAAATCTAACATTAAATAAAGACTAGCTACCAAAAATATGACTTTCGCCGTGACTGGAAATGAAAACACCCGTCGGAATCTCCCAAGAGGTTGAAGCAGTAAACAGCAGCCTAAGGCTGGCTGTGCTTTCCGTCCTTCGATACCGACAAGAACTCTAAAACTCGGGTACCGGAGGGCTGGCCTCAGAGAGTGTAGACTGCTTGTTCAGGGCCTCCGGGATGCCAGGGATGGGGCCAGAGTTTAAATTCTGTCTATTTCCCTCTACAGCCAAAGTCAAGGTCTTTTGACAGAATATTTTGGATGGAAGAGAAAAATTAAAAACCACCTTAAAAATACGATGTAAGAGTTCTGTGAGGCTGAGCACACGTCGGTGAGACCTTCTGGAATCACCAGGTCCAACCACACGTGTGCAAGGAACAAAGGACAGCTGTGAGATAATGAAAACGGAGCCAGACAAGTGCAGGGCCTTTCTGCTGACGTGTAAACAAAACAAAACAAAACAAAACAAAACAAACCGAGAAGGAAGCAGTAAATGCCCGTGCAAGCGCAATTCCTAAATCAAAGCATGAATTTAAAAAATAAAAATTAAAAAGTATCAGGAGGCAGAGGCAGGGTGATCTCTATGCATTGTAGGCTAGTCAAGGCTGCATAGGAGACCCCCCTTCTAAAAAAAACCTAACAATAAAGCTTTTTATTTATATACATTCATTGTACAAAATGATGACTTCCATAAAGTATTTTTCATATATATATATATACACTCTGACAACATTCACTCCTCATTCCCCTCTCCTGTCCCCTTATGAGCCAATCTCCTCTTCTCTATTAGTCTCCCTTCTACTTACGTGCATATGCTTGTCTGTATGTGTGTGTGTTTAAATTCCAGGTTCCACATATAAGAGAAAATATGACATTCATCTTTGAGGGGGTCTGGCTTATTTTTCTCAGCATGATGATCTCCATTTCTGTCAATTTCCTGCATATGACATAATTTTGCACTTTATGGCTGAATAAAACTCCACTGTATATGTCTGATTTTTAAGAGATAGCTTAGAGTTTCACTATATATGAGGTCTTTAGTCCGAGTGAAGCAATACTTGATTCCCATCTTCTTGATGAACACTGTGGTCACATTAAGAACTTGTCATGGTATGGAATGCTTCCTACCTCTCAGTGTTGAATTGAAAATGTTCTTACATTTGAAACTTGAAACAACACTGAACTAAGTGCAATTATATTAAAAAGTACATTAAGAAATCCTCACCGGGCGGTGGTGGCACATGCCTTTAGGCCCAGCACTCGGGAGGCAGAGGTAGGCGGATCTCTGTGAGTTCAAGGACATCCTGGGCTACAGAGTGAGTTCCAGGAAAGGTGTCAAAGCTACGCAGAGAAACCCTGTCTTAAAAAAAAAAAAAAGAAAGAAAAAAAAAAGAAAGAAAGAAAGAAAAGAAAAGAAAAGAAACCCTCCCTTGGCATTTAAAGGTGGAAATATAACATTAAAAACTACAATTTTTTTATAACCATGAAGCTTTGTAACTTTTTTTTTTTTTTCAAGACAGGGTTTCTCTGGGTAGCCTTGGCTGTCCTGTAACTCACTCTGTAGTCCAGGCTGGGCTTAAACTTACAGAGATCCTTCTGTCTCTGTCTCCTGAGTGCAGATGAAAGGCCAGCACCACCCGTTTCCAATGTCTTTTTTATGTTCTTGGTGGACTCTGATTATAGCAGAGACAGCAAACCTGCTGGAAGGCACCAAGGCTTGGAAAGTAGCATCCACACACTTGAATTGCTGCAGAGAATTGTTTGTTTTAGTCTTCTTCCTGTCCTTGAGATGAAGCCATCAGGCCTGAACTAGGGGGAAAATGGGATTAACCAGGTTCACTGCAGTGGTGCAGGTCTTCACTGGAAAGATGGAGAAGCTTGAAGGCCGGTTGAGTAGGTGGGAAGAAGGGAAGACAGGAAGAGCAGTGTCTACCGCCCTTGAGCCCAAACTACAGAGAACCCCGGCAAGTTATACAGAACTGTGGAGTTTGTTCCTAGCTTTCCCAGAAGGTGTTCTCAGGGAGGCACTGTGCACAAGGGGCCACAGCTGGTTACCTGGCGGCACATGTGCCAAGTGAGTGTGCACAGCTTTCACTCTTACCTCACACCGGGAACGGGAGGGTGTTACACAAAGGCAAAGGCAAGTGGCCAAATTTCTAGTCTTTCCATTGCTGTTGTGGTGTGTGTGTGTGTGTGTGTGTGTGTGTGTGTGTGTGTGTGTGTGCGCGCTCATTCACGCATGACAATTAAATGAAGCAATGCTGATGAAATCTTAGCATTTACACCCTGTACAGAGCAACTACAGAGTACCACTGTCAGGAGTGTGAACACTGTTGATCTTCATAGAATCCAGTCAGATACCTCCTCAGAACATGCTAGAAAGACACTGGAAGAGCATGTCATCCCAACTGAAGCTAATAAAGGTGAGATGCATGAACTTTCTACTGCAATTCTTCTTCCCTGACCGTTTCTTGAAGCAGGAGACTGCCACAACCCTGATGCCTGTGTCCTACCAAGCTGATCTGTTGAAACTTACCACCAAACTGATAGGCAAATATCATCATTTAATTCTAGCCAAACTAAATAAAACTCAGCTAAAGCCTACACAATTGAAAAAAATTATCACGTTACATGAAAAATCTAACCCTTTTGGAAGAAAATATCATTTGAAGAAAAAATTATTTCAACAACTGCTCCTTGGAGAACAAAGCAGGTTCCGTGAGAGCCTCTCGGATACTTTCACCCAAGTGCGGTGCTTCGTCAGAGGCGCTTGGTCTAGAGAAAGTCTTTGGACTTTTGAATATATTTTTGAATATATTTTTCTCTTTTAAGAAATTTGAAATCTATCATTAAATTTTTTTCAATTCTTTTATGAGAGTCCTTCTATACAGCTCTTATTTTATAATATCTATAGTTGTTCAACAAAAGACTTGCTGCACAGTGAACCAAACTCAGACAACTGTAGTGTTTCCCAATAGTGTAGGTATCTAGCATTTTAAAGATACACAGTCTAGCGAAAGAAACAGATATTGATAACAACTGTGAAATTCATTTATAGTGTTTACTATTTCATGGATTTAAAAACTACCTTTCCCTTTCACACAACTGAAGTTACTTAAGATGTTTAACATAGGTTCCTTCTCAGCTAAGCTGAAACTATTACTCACTAAAGCCTTTCTGAGCCCACAAGATATTTCTCACTGTATACATCTAGAAACCATGCCATAATAATATATAAAACCATGATGACTGATCTGACAATGGTCACATTATAGATCTCAAGGATCTTTACTCATAATATGTCTAAAAAGAAAAAGATCTCATTAGTGAAGAAAGTAGTTTACAAAATGAAATTCCCAAGGGATGAACACAATGCCATCACTTAGTATTGTGGAAGGAACGCCAACACTCTCCAACTCAAGACTCTTAAATGTTATTCGTGTGGAAAGCTTGTCTCCATGTTTAAAACCTTGCCATATAACATCCTTATACTTCTTAGTCGAGAGAATTTGAAACAAGAAGGAAGCCGCTACAGTGTGCCACTGCTTTCTGCGTTAGAATCAAACCCCTTCCAGCTGAATCTGGTTGGCTGCATATCACTACAGCAAAGCTAAGTCTAATAAACACAAAGCAAGTAATGTAATTGTGGATGGTTATGACTGGTTCACATAAAAAAGGTCACATGTAGAGCTTTACTCCTATAACAAATTTTCCACAGTGTGTCCTGTCAACGGCTTTGGCAATCACATGAAGCACAGAGGAAAGCCAGACTTGAAAAAAAAAAAAACACCGATGAGCACCCACATAACTCAGTGTTTACAAGATGGAGGGGGTGTGTGTTTCCATGCCTATAAACATGAACAGCTCAGAAAATTTTTCTGCGTCTTATTTCTTTCTCATCCCTATAACCTGGAATATTGAGTGCATTT